TAAACAGGGCTATAAGTAAAATATATAAATATCATTTCAATAATGCTACATTCCTAATGTACTGAAACTTAAGCACATTTGCTAGAAAGTAAATGTGACTGAACATAGTGGCAACATTTGGAGATCAACAAAGGAAAGATAAATTGCACTTAACTATTTCCATCTGTCGATCAGCACAGGTAGGAAATGGCCATTTGTGGTTGTCAGATTCTTAGCAAATCATTCAGTTGCAAGATACTTCTCATCTCTGTGGCAGTGAGAGTTGATACAAAATTGAATAGAAAAGAGAATGACTTATATAAAAGAAATTGAGATGGCTTAGTTGAGATATAGAAAGAAAGAATGAATGAAGATTGAATCATAAATGAAGTTTGTGAAGAGTGATAGGGTGGTGAAGATTGGTGAAATTTGTGATTGTATGGAATGAGCTCTTTGAAAAGAAAGAAACAAATTTAAAGAACAAAAGGCTATATATAAAACTATGTGGTTTTGATAAAAGCTAAGTTAGATAGGCATGGAGAGGGGTAATGAATAATTTTGGTATAAAATAGATTTAGCTGTATATTTAGCTGCACAAGATAGTTAGCTTATCTTGTACCTTTAATTTCTTTGTCCTACTGTTTCTTATTCTGCTTTTGCAGTTATAATGTTGCTTCCCAAAGGGAATAGAATGATGGGTATGTATGTATGAATCTAATGAATTTAAGCCTGATCCACAAAAAAAATATGATTCTTATATTTTAAGATGCCACAAGACCTTTTATTGATGGTTGCATCTCTGTTTCTTTTCCCTCCTTTGTTTTATACCATTTATGTCCCTAATAATCCCTAGTTAATTGTTAATGTAATTTTAGCAAATTCAGTCAACAAATAAACAGAAGCACATCGTGTTTGATTCAGATAATGAAAATGAAGTACAAGAGCATACTGAAAAAGAGTCTTCAGAAAAGATCCCAGTAAAGGTGAGCAAACTAGAAGGGAATTTATTCTATCCTTAGATATTATCTTTACATCTCCACAAAGATTTTCTGTAGCTAGTGGTGAAGAAAAAAATGCACATGTCCACTTATTTTAAATTATAGTTTAATTTATAAATTATAGTACCGCCAAAGATACAGTCAAAAACTTAAAAAGAAAAGGGAAGGGGAAAAAAAAATAAGCTTTACAATTAATACAGGTACTATAGAAGAGCAGAGGCTGAGTTACCAAAGACGCAAGTAAATATAAGATAACTTAATCCAGTTACTTAACAAAATGTAGCACTGGTACACTGCACTGCTACCCTGTTGTTAAAGTAGTAATACTGTTTAACAACAGGCCTGTTCTCCCAAATAGGGGTGAAGAAATTCTTCAAGATTCCATTCAATTAAATCGGATATTATTTGAGTTTTTCTTTTAAAATGCAACAGAAAAAATCTGTATTTCAGCAAATAGTTTAGGTGACAAGCAGCTACCATCTACCTCAGGAACCATTACCATCCTATTTATGGTGGAAGAGAATGGTAAAGGGAGGAAGAAAAGAGGTTTCGGGGAGAAAAATGATGTAACCGGGGGAGTACTTGCTAAAAACATTTGGTGTTACCCTGAAAAAGAGCTTGTTCAAATGAAATGTTTGTTCATTACTGCACCCAAGGAATTCACCCCCAAAACTTCTGGGAAGCTGTTTGACAGCAGCGATGAAGAATCAGACACCGCAGCTGATGAAAATGATCGGTTCAAAATCAAACCTCAGTTTGAGGGCAAAGCTGGAGAGAAGGTTGGCACGCTTTATTTAATCATGTATTATTTTCATGGCTTCTTATAATTCCAGAATAATTTATCTGCATGTAGAAGACTTGCACAGCCATATATTTTGGTGTTTAAGCGAGGCAGGGGGATCTGTGGCTCTCAGGGTGTTCCTAATATTGTGTAAGTTTCCAGCAGTTTTATCCAGCATGTAAGCATCCGGAAAGTCACATGCTTCTGCCTCTAAGCTCCAGATATAAATCTTGTTCGTTCCATCAGTTTTTCTCCTACATCATGTAGCATTTTTCTATAAGCCAATCTTTGTCTACAACAGTGTTTCTCAACCTTGACAATTTTAAGGCATGTGGACTTCAACTCCCAGAATTCCACAGCCAGCATTGCTGGCTGTGGAATTCTGGGAGTTGAAGTCCACATGCCTTAAAATTGTCAAGGTTGAGAAACACTGGTCTACAATGAACAGTTTTTTTGTCCCTTGGTTTCTCTTTACTTTATGGTACCATATTTTCTTGGAAGAAATAAAAAATATCCCAAAGGTGCTTTTCAAAAGGCAACTGGACTGTTCTTTTCTATTTTGTTTCTTGAAAACGTTTCACTTCTCATTCAAGAAGCTTCTTCAGTTCATTCCCTCCGTTCCAGAACTGAAGAACCTTCTTGGATTGAGAAGTGAAACATTTTCAAGGAAAAAAACCAAGAAAACCCAGTTGCCTTTTGAAAAGCATCTTTGGGACAACCATGACCTGGATGAGTGAGAATCTCCACAGAAAAGAAGTAAAGTAGAAAAATGAGAAGGGGCAAACCTGAAAGAGTTTCCCAAGGATAAAAAAAAAAGTGTTTATGTTTATAACTTTGGTTTAAACAAGGAAAGTTCAAGAGGAAAACCAAGAAAAACCCTTTATAAAAATGGATATTCTAGTACAAAATAATTAAATTCAAACAGTATATGTAAAGACAATTCAATTTCCATATTTTTCACATGAATGTGAAAGATTACACTAATTGGTACCATTTGGTAAAATGGTAAAAATTAAATCTCCCAAATAAAGGACAAAAGTAAGTTTTTGAAAAATAAATCTAAAAGACAGCTTTCTCAAATAAAAGATTGTCCTTTATAATAAAAGATGTGTGGTCACTTTACGTACATTACTCAAGTTTTTTGGAACTTGATTACTTCATTTAAATCTGTTCTGGAAAATTAATTGCAATAAAGAATATAATCCCTCTGTTACTCTTTCTTGTTGCAGCTTATGCGTTTACAGTCACATTTTGGCACAGATGAAAGATTTCGTATGGATGCTCATTTCCTTGAAAGTGACAGTGATCAGGAAGGTTAGATATATAGTATTTTGCTGATTGCTAATAGAATGCTTGTAAGACTTCGTTATAGTAAACTTTTTTCTATAATTTTTTGAATATTTGTTTCCTAGTAATTCCTCTGCATGGATCAAAAGATCCTTTAAAAACATTTTACATATGACCTA